TGAGTAATACTCCGTAAGCACTGGAGCTATCTACATCAGCCACCATAAGTCCGTTATGGGTACAGAAGCAATTCGTACACCAGTTACTTTGACCGCGGTCCACATCTTTCGGTGCCTGATCATTCGATTTACTTATTACCACTGTTAACCTTTGACTGGTCTTGAAAATAATGTACCTAATTACCTTTCTCTTGCACTTGATCTACCACCACCTTTAGTTACGTTGTGATTCATCAAGTCAGCTGTCAACTTTAACATCGTCATCAATATTCAGCCCAACTCGGCACATTTACCATGTAACCCGCAATATCTAGATGTCTGAGTCTGCGTAGGTTTACCGGAAAGAATTCTTAACTTAGCACTCTGATTCGCTATTAAATGGGCATTTTCGGATTGCCAAAGGAAAACATTCCCTATGATTCATACAGGCGCCTAGTTTGTCGAACAAGTCCGCATCTCAGCTTCCGACCATGTTTGTGCATGTTACTTGGTGTATTACTTGTCGATTTTTGTGAGTAGCGTATTGTTCGTAGAAAGTAGAAGTCACGATTAAACTTCACACAATAATCTGCCTCGACGGGGAATCGAACCCCGGTCCCACGAATTTCCGGTCCGCTGCTCTACCACTGAGCTACCGAGGGCTGACGATTAGGTGCGCAATTTAATACATGACTTCTGCTTGGTGCGCGACGTATTGCCAATGAGCTCATAGTATCTGTCCTGGTGTTGCAGATTGGCTCACTCACTCGTCACTTCCCAATGGACCGAAGTATCTGTCCTTCTGATGTCCAAAGGGTGTTGGTAGATTACTTGTGGATTTTTGTGTGTAGCGTAATGTTCGTAGCAAGTAGAAGTCATGATTAAACTTCACACAATAATTGGTATATGCCGCGTTGAAAACTTATACGCGCCATCTTTGATGTGTTCGCCTATTGGACTACAATTGCATAAAGCACGGGGCGGTGGCGGAGTCAGCTGCCTTTGCTCACGCTATTTCTGAGAAAAGAAATTCACAAGTGGGGAAACATGAAGGCGCTGAAAATTTAGCATTACCTCATCTATCGTAAAAGAGCTTAGAGGCTCGCGTCGCACTTTCACGTGGCCATACTTCCTCTCTGTAACTGCGCACAGAAACAAGACAGCGGGTGTTCCTTTTTGTTCCTTAAGGTGGTACATGAAGGGCCCTTCCTTGACAAACATCGCCATACGTGTGAACCTCAGGAAACATTTACCATACATCTGCGCTGACCCTGGAGTTGCAGTAATGGGGTTTCACAAGGGATCGAAATACCCCAAGGTGCCCTACAGCAACATAGCGACACAGGAGATGCGGTTTTCCAGCTTCAGCTACTTTTGAGTGAATGGAGACCATAATGACGGAGGGTTAGTGTGAATGGTAGTCTTCGGGCACCTTAGAAAAAGTAAATAATCCGTCAGTGCAACCCACACCGAGACAGCTGCTGATCACATCCACAACTTTGCTTAATCTGGAAGGCTGACGACTGAGAGCAACTTTGATCACAGTAATCCCGACTTCGCTATACTGTTTGCACCTCATTTTGATGTGCCCTCGCTTCTCTATCGGCAAGCGGGACCTGATTGCAATGGTTACTTCCAATGTTCATTACGCATGATGCGCCCCTCGACACACTTTCCGCTTTTTTCCGACTTCTCTAATGTCATCACTCCACTTCCTGTAGCAAACCGCATACTGACCATCCAGATGGATGTGCCGAATGTCGCATAATCCAACCTACGTTACACTCTGAGAGAGCTCTTCTAAGTTAACTATCTAATTGGTATAGGAATTGTTAGTTTTGGAGAGATCTTCTCGGTTCCTTACACCTTAGTCGTGGAGTCAACATTGCTACCACTGTTGCTTCAAAATTTCCTCAGTCCGAACCAACTTTGTCAGGTTGCTTGGGGACATAGATTCATTCTCATCATCATCATCATTGTCGTCGTCGTCGTCATCATCGTATCATCTTAATGCTCATCACTCGTCACCATCCTCATCGTCATCACCATCATCATCACCACCATCATCATCATCGTCATCATCATCATCCTCATCATCTTCATCATTGCTCCCACCAGACATGAGCTAAACTGCGAAGGCAGCGTTGATCGAATGTGACGAGCCTCTTTATGTCTGTCGACCTGATGGGTCAGGTTTCACAACCATATGGACGGCTGCGTTATAAACGTTGCACTTGAGGGCGAGAGTAATGTCGCGCCTGCGCCACAGGTGGGGGAGATTGGCAAAAGCACCTCGATCTTTTGATATACGTTATCTTCGATCCTCCGGGCGCTAATATAGCTGCCCAAGTACTTGAATTCCTGAACGACTTCTAGCAGATCACCACAAAGCGTTAGCGCAGGGGTGGGTTCGTATCAATCTTGGAGAAGTACTTTGCATTTCGATTGAGCAAAGCATAGGCCAAAACAGTAAACAGCCAGTGCTAATCAGTTCAGTGCTGCTCGGCATGTTTGGGAGCAGTCGCAGATTTGGGCAACATCGTCCGCATACTCCAATTCAAAAGTCGCTCATCAGGAAGTAGCTCCATACCTTCTAGTTCGTGTGCAGCGAATACTGTTTCCATGAACTGCGTAGTTAACTGGGAAAGGTGACAGCCGGCAACCTTGTCTCACACCGTTGATGATACTGAACGCTGACGACAGTTTGCCATAAACCTTCACGGGACATGGACTAAGTATTCTGGCCTGTTTACTTGCGGTTGCGGTAACCCCGTGGAATGAGCTCAAATCTAGTAGTTAAACAATCCGTCAGATTATACCGTCTGTCAATTTTAAATCCGGGCTGGACATTCCAAATACCAATTTAGCCAGCCGGCCGTGTCGACATTTTCGCTTGGCTTTCACAACACTCCAGGCGGTAACGTCGGAACTCCCATCATCGAAATAATAGACTGTACACTTATGCTGTGGAAGCGTAACACGGTGCCCAGTCCCGACAACACTGTCACCTTCACTAAAGGGCGAAGACAAGCTACTCTACGGTCGATTCTGTGTGGCGCCTCACTTTATGGTATGGTTTGTATTAACTGCATATTTACCCTTATTAAAACACCCTAACGACTTGCTGGTAGCTTTTGACCGTCTACCGAGTGCGCTACTTATTTTTAAGTAGTATGCCACCAAAATTCTTTCGCATTTGAAATCTGTGTACCACAGCTCGGTATCCTGTAGTGATCTACGGAGGCGCTCTCGTTTTCTTTATGATGTCTCGATGTGTTCTTATTCTCTCGCTAGCTTTTCAGCATTCTGATCAGAAAGATGGCGAATGACTATCATGTTTGTTAGGATTGACATTCCACCATATGACGGGTTTATAGGATTAGAAAATTTTGTTTATATGATTGCTTTAGGACTCATCTGTTAGTTACTCCTATATATATATATATATATGCGATGGTCGATTTGCTTACCTAGGTAACCATATCACAGTTGTACGCGTGGACGATCCTCTCGTGTCCTTTTGACGCCTTGCCTCTCTGTGTTGACATCTTATGCTAGTCTATCATTCGAGCAATGTGTGCATCGCTGGAGTGTGGACGGTGTTAATGCATAAAGGTCTGTGGGTGTTCTCCGAGCTGAGTGAGTTGTCTGCAGGCATTTCATCGTCAGGCTGGACGATATCCTCTGTGCAATTTGTGCGGGCCACTTACAAATCCAAGTGTTTATTGATCACTTACTGATTCGTACCTGATCAAGTGATTAGTAATCACTTGGATCTGCAAATGACCCACATAAATCGCGCTGATGATGTGGTCTAGCCTGACGATGAAATGTCTACAGCCAAATCATTGAGCTAAGAGAACACTCACGTACCCTTATCCGCATCCCGAGCTAAAAATATTTTCACGAATTCCCGGTGTCAATGCATGTATAACACATATGGAACTTAGCTTTGAAAGAATCAATGAGTCATATTTTTAAATCGCCGGTGTCTGTTTAGCACATTTTATGTCTAATTTGCACATAGTATGTGTAATGGTGATGTTTCCCACTCTGAATCTACTTCGCTTGAACGGTTTGTGTCGGCCTCCACAATTCTGAGCATACCTGCATACGGTCTTTCCCTGTACCTACTGATTGCAACCGTTGCCTTCTGTTGGAGAAAGCCGCACAGCATCCATTCGACGGCATTACGAAAATATCACAGAATAAAGACCTTTAGACCTTGACAGAGATTTATTGTAATCATGCACAATAGCTTTCAGCTAACCTGGTAAAAAACAATCCTTGTTGTTTTTCACCTTTGATTTTACGATTATGCTGTTTGAATCCTTCTCGCTCACAGCCAAACCTACTATCACTAGAGTTTGGTTCAAAGTATCCGATCGGCTTGGCTACCTACGCTGCTGAAACAATGGCAGCGGCCGAGCTATTGCGTAAGCGCGTCACTTCATCGTTAGGACACGCGAAAACTTCCACCATTCAATAGCTTATGTCTTTGTTGGGACCTCATGTTATTGCGCAGTTTAGGCGTACACCGCAAAGTGTTACTTACAAAACTCAAATCGGTTTCGCTGCAATTTGGCTGTTATTGCTTCCGAACACAATCCCCATATATGTTGTCACTTCGAACGACTAGTAGGTACCGCTTAAGTGTTGTCTGGTTTGCGAAGTTACCGCGATTGCTCACTTGGTTTGCTATTTATCTGTGCTTTGTGCTCTATTTTTGCCTTCTGCAACCTCTTGTATTCGTTTCAGCGGTACACCCAGAAAAGCTTCACTTAGCGAATAGTGTTGGTGTGAATCTTTACTGTTAACATTGCATGGTTTATTAATTTCACATTTCTGCGCCTTTCAACTAGACTTGGTAATTCATTTGGGTAACATACGGAATCACTTGGCCGAAACTACATGTGGGCCGGGCACACGATATTGTTTTGCCTGTACTCTGTTTCTCTGCTGACCCACCGGTGTGTTTGTTTACCACTTTTACCTTAACCCTGTTCTATTTCCCATGGCAGAAATCTATCGTGTTTCGAGACATGGCTGAAGAGGTCCTCCAAAGGTCCTGATTTTATCTTGCCAAATGAGTGCTGTAATATGATTAATACAGTAGCCGACTTGAAAGCCAACATCCTCAAGTTATGCACAAAGGATACAAAAGGGGAGGATATGGTAAGCTCCATTCTACCTTGTCGGTTTCCCAATTATCGTCTGCTAATGTTCGGCTCTGAGATTTTCATGACTCATAGGACCTCCGAAAAATTTGAGCGCAGTTTATCACCTACACGTAACGTAACCTGACCTTCGTTTCACACTAAGCAGTTTCTTACAGACCGAATCTGAGGGCGGTCATGTGTACATCCAACTTGATGTCTGATACCAGTAACCTCCTTGGGTGCTATCCAGACCCATCCGGCCCAATTTGGCTTAAGCGTTCAAACCCACTGTAGTGGCGTTTCATATGCTGTGCGCAGTGCATTCACGTTGCTTCTCACTCCTTTGTTAATTGGATATTTGAACATCTCCCCAACCAACTTCCTGCTACGTCGACTTGCACAGTTTCATCCTACACGATAAACAAAGCATTCCGTAACTCAACTTGGGACCGAAAATCTCATCATTATCCAGGTTTATGATGAAGTAATGATCCAGTTTATGTTACCGAGCAGCATCCAAATGATAAGCATAGTTTTTAGTGAATAAGGTGACCTAAACGTTTGTACCACAGACTGCGCTTCGTGTTCCTCGTCTTCAGGGCCCCAGTTCTGTAGTTGGGAAACCCCAACCGACGCCCAGTTCCAAGTGTGGGTCCTCATTCCTCTTTATCAAGTCACCACTTGGCTTCTCCTCCTCTTCTTCCATCCACTCCTTGGTCACGCAAGCAATGCGCCTCGCGGGAGTCTGTGTTTTGACATGCGCAACATGTGGCGTAGCCATCGGAGCCTGGTGCGTGATATAACGGTGCTGAGCGGTTTACTCACCCTTCCTGCACAGAACACGAGACACCGAACACGCTCGTTGCTCGTTGTTGCGAAGGCAACAGTGGTCGAACGGAACAAACCTCTTTATGTCTCCATCTGATGGATCAGGTTCCGCAACCGTACAGGAGGTTTGAACGCACGGCTGCATTGTAAACTCTACCATTCAGGAAGAGACTGATGTCGCGCCGGTCTACAGATTACGGGGATTGGCAAAAGCGCCTCGAGGTTTGCTATACGGTTCATGATCACTACCTCTATCCCACTTGCCCTGATATAGCTACCTAGATACTTGAAATTTACGACGCCTTCCAGCTGATCACCAGCAAACGTCGTCGCACGGTGGGTCGCTGCCTCTCTTATAGATGGACTGCATTTCGAGGGTGGAAAGTTCTAATTGACTGGCAACCCTTGCTGCTCCGCACATTTGGGAGCTATTACAGAAAAATGCGATGTTATTGGCGTACTCTAAGTCAAGAAGTCGATCATCTGGGAGCATCTCCGCACTTCGTAGACCCTGTCCAGTGAACACAGTTTCCATGACCTTAATGGCGACCGGAGCACCTGCAGTCTGTTGGGGCAGTTTTCTGCTCTCACTAATAGGAAGCGTTGATCATCCGCAAGAGCAGATCCCGCGAATTTGTAGGGGACTGGAATAAATAGCATCTGGTCTCGCGTCTTTGTTCAACTTCAGCAGTCCCATCTCATGTTCGACATCCACGCGCGAAGGCGGTCCTAAATGCACTACCCAGGAAGCAGGGAACCACTGGACCACAATGAGTCTCGCAATTCCAGCCGATTAAGTTACCTTACATTGTACTCGACCGGACGTCGTAGGCGTTTTGACCAGTTGTGGATGGCCTGTCCACTCTCATCGCATATAGTCTAGGTAACACCATTTCTTCTGTTTCTCGTTTGTCGCATCATACGGAATAACTTACGAAGGTTACTAACAGCACGATGAGGCCAAACATCACAGTCTCTCTTCAGCCTAGCACGTAGTTTCACCCTGAGGTCTTTGCGAGTCTCGTTGTGTTCGCTCCCGGCCGGAATGCTCGTGCTAGCATAAATATGTTGTGGACGCTCCTTAGAGACCTAATATCCAGGTTGACTATTAGATTTCCCATGTAAAGACATATATACCACATGTTTGTGAGTAGTGTAAAGTTTGTAGAAAGTAGAAGTCACGATTAAAATTCACGCACGATAATGTGCCTCGACGGGGAATCGAACCCCGGTCCACGAATTTCCGGTCCGCTGCTCTACCACTGAGCTACCGAGGGCTGACGATTAGGTGCGCAAATTTTAATACATGACACATTATTGTACGTGAATTTTAATCGTGACTTCTACTTTCTACAAACATATATACTGCTAATAAGGTCCTGCGAACATGGGACAATTGATCTTCAGCTATGTTTAATGCGCTTACTGTGCCCGAATGCTAGCGTTTTTTGGTACGCATTCAGAAGGTCCGTCTTCGCTACTATGCTAGTGTCTATGCACTCATAAATTCGTAGCGGGCGTCTGCCGAAATGCAGCTGCAGATCGGCACATACAAGATTGTGATCGGAGTTCACGCATGTTTCAAATCAAACGGCAGTTTTGGACACGGGTTCTCCAGCGCTAACTGGTCACTGAGTGATCAATTTGCATCCATACTTTTTGGGCGCCATTTCACCCTCCGGCATGTGCTGTGTCGAAGGTTAGTGCTCTCGAGAAATGGACGAGTATCTTCACATAAGTGCAGCAACCGCTCACCATTATCATTACGGGAGCCTCCTCCGTGTTGGCCGCTCAGATGCAGCTCATCACTGGACAGTTTTTCAACTTGGGCGTTCAGATCACCAGCAAGCGCCACGGTATCCGTATTCTTTTCTGTAACAAAGAAGCTTGTTACGTTGGTAGTAGAAGTAATCTTTCACCGAGTCGCTGCTACATTTTGTGGGCACGTAGGCATCAACAACAAACATGCACCTATTCGCCCAGCATGACTTCAGAGCTTTGAACGAGTAAGCTATTTGGCCAGCGCACATCCGTCTTCTGATTGGGATTCTGTCGACGAGTGAACTCTTATCCCGGAGACTCAGAGTAATGCCCCTACCTGTTTCACCGGCACTTGATGCATCGTCATCTCCAGACAAATGCAGTGGGAAAGTGCTGCCAATGTCGATTTTTATCTTCTTTGAGTTTATCGTACCACAACTCTACCTTACCGTACTTGTCACGACTGCTTGTTTGATCGAAGAAAATCCTAAGTATGATGCACAATTGTTTTCTTGAGTGATAGGCGTACACTTTTCCATTAGGCGATAGTTATGTTTCTACATTTGTGTTCAATAAAACCTCCAAAGTTGATCCTCTCTATATCATGACTACCACACAAAGTTGACCGTTTTTGTTTCCTCTTTAGAATGTTCACTATTTAAACCTTAGGGATCCATGCCTCGGTATGTTGATCATTTTGGTTCACTGGTCAGCTTATAAATGTTTTACTGGATTTCTCCATTCTCAGAAAGTGCAAGATGCTAACAATGCAACAAGATGCTAACAATGTGCCTACCCTAAGTTTAACTTCATTTTCCATGTGCCAAAATTGTTTGTTATCAGTACTTCACTCACACACGCACCATGTTGTTATCAACTTTTGAATTTCCTTTCAGAAACACTTCCAGGCCCCTTTTCCGTTTGCATTTCACATGCCATTCACTTCCACATTACCCTCCATCACTTTCTCTTTTGAGAAGTACGTTTGCTCAGTTATAAATGATCATAGTGGTTTTGCGAGAGCGTCTTCATCCATCAGCTGTTGCGTATGGGGTGTGTGTGTGCATCGGCTCGCGTTTGGCTTTTTAGCACGTGTAATTCATTTGTTGCCTTCTCTTCTCGTTCTCAGCATCCAGCGCTGACTTGTTACACAACGCTTGCTTACATATTGCTGGTCGCTTATGCACATCGCTTGTATACTCGGTATCACGTTACGCTTCCATTGCCCCGTAGCTGTGTTTATGATTTCGCTATACCGCCGCAGCTTGCGATACCGATTTCTCTTGAGCCATCCTTTCCACACGGACGTGATTTTCGCTGGATGATACCTGCCTGTTCGCTGCTTAGCTTGTGGCAGATATAACAATAATCTGCTAGCTTGCATTCACAGAGGAACAGCATATTTGCATGCCTTAACATCACTGCTATCCTCGATTTTCCCTCTTCTTCCCCCCAATCGGTACTCGATCACGTAGCACCAGTACCACAATCAGACGGAAACCAATCTCGAGCGCATTCAGCGTAAAATGGCCATCGTACTAAATGAGAAAATGGCCACTATTCTGGAAGGGAATTTAGCCAAGTTGGCACGGTACGACGTCAACACATTGCTTTCTTCTGTACTTTCGTTAACAGTAAGTTGACTGTTTTACTGGTCATTATCATTGACGTATGGTCATGCGCGCGGTTGGTGATACTCATTTTTTCATTCGCGCCTCACTCTCGCTTCCAGCGACCGCAAGACGCTAGCCTCACATACCTCGCGTCCAACTGTAAACCGCAGCAATCCTTGTTGAGGTTATTCATTATGCCTACCTGGCTGAAGTGTAAAATCCGAATCAATCCTGAGGTACTCAGTCACAAGGAAACCTTCCTGTTGTCTTCCAGTTGACGACAGCCGATTATAGCTGAAGGAGCCTGATTTGTCTTTCCGTTATTACTAATTGATTTTATCTGCAAACCGCCATTGCTGCCTGGGTCTCGTTAAAACCACCATGTACTTTGGCATGCGTGTTGCCCGAACACTTTTTACGCAGCATCGCGTTTACCGCGATACAGTGTTCTTGATCATATTTCTCTTAAATATGCGTACACAAGTCGAATGTGGCTATGATCTCTCCACAAATGGATTGGTCTATGCATTGGTTCCATCGAAGGGAGAACGCGTTAAGTTAATTCGCAGAGAATCTGTCAGAATACTTTCTGTACCACGTATTTGGTTTGCGCTCCTTTTATTAAACGTTTGACTTTGTGCCCATTTACCTCTGCTTGCGTTGATATTGTTTTCGATAAAAGCTAATTTCGAATCGATCAGTCGCCTTTTTCAACAATATTTCTCAGTGTAACTGAGGGGCTTTGAACGGTCAAACCACCGACCAAACTTGCGCAATTTCTGATGAATTATCTGTTTCAGAAAATGGCCGCAGCCTGAAGGAGAATGTTACCTGATGCTCGGCGTTTGTTGCGTCGGTGATTTGCCTAAACTGCTACTTAATGCATCCTCTTAGTACAACTTTGGGAACAAAACCGAGCTCTTTTCGTCAACTTAACAGCCGCATATTCTGGCAGCAGAAAGTCACGGTGGTGAAGGGGTTGTGTACAACTGTTTGCACGAAAGGCCTATTCCTAACAGATACTATTCCTTTCCTAAACAATTCCAGCCTTTATTACTCATTAGTTCCACTTCTCCTTCATTTTATTATAGAAACCTACTGATGAAGGGGGGAAAGTGTATGTCGAATTTTTGCGGGTGAATTTAGAACAGATGCGACAGAAAATTACGGATGAACTTTACGTCCTCTCCTTTATGGAGGTCAGTTATATTGTGCCATTTCTCCATTCGCTTCTCAATTGTGATATATTTGTACCTCATTTCCACCTGTGCTTATCGAATTTAAAAGTCCGTCTTTCTTGAAAACGCAGCTTGGGATCTCACTGAGCCCGTTGTTTATCTGCAACTTTTCGTCCACGCGCGCTTTCACACAGCATCTCTCGGCAGACTATTATGTCTCAACCTCAAGGCTATCGACGGTCGGAATGCTGGTGTTTTATTAATCACTTTTCGTGATTTAAACCCGTCAAGTGAGGAGCTCCCGTCGGAATGCGCGTAAATGCAACTTAACCCATGGTTCATAAAATAGCTGGAGCTTCGTCCTTTACACGTCAATTGACTGTCATTATCTGGTGACAGTGCCGCTTGTCTAATTTCTCTTCAGAACTCCTCAAAAGCCTTCGGACAAAGAGACGTTAACACGTTAACTTCTGGCCTATCAGCTGCTCATGAGTACCACGTATGCTTCCAAGTGAGACTTTCAACAAAAGAAGCTGGCAAACGTATGAACTATTTGACCCACATATACACTAGTTCGACGTAAATCAGTAATGGATATCGGGTCTGTGGGTGCTGCAGCGCACGCTACCCGTGGTCCTTCTGTAGGCACAGGCGTCCTGTGGCTATCCCCGTGAAGGCCACAGCGACAGACAAATCCGGGACCGGATGCCGCCAACCACGTATAACCTAGGATCACCGTTTACTCATGAGGAAGAGATGTTGAGGATGCGGCGGTGACCCATCCAGCTCTCGGTAAAGCATTATGGAGGTCCGAAATCAGGGTACTGGTACTGTGCCCCTTGGACCGATCACATATTGTGTGCCCGATACGTTACGGACTGCTCGGACAAGTGCTGGAAATTTGACACAAGAACACCGGCTACCATCGTGTCAGAATGCGAACCAATGGTAACTCTTTTCGCCAAAATATCTGTTAAACGGGTGCAAAGGGAGAACGCTTAAACACCTCATCCTTGGTTGACCAGCTTCAGTCAGGCATGCCGTTGGTGACCTCTAGCATTGCCACTATCATCCCTGTCTGCTTCCCGTTACGACCAATGTGTCAATCTGCTCGGGAGTGTGCCTGCATGCACTCCCTGTCCCCCATAGACGCATACATCTAACCCTGTGCTTACACCCAGGGTATCCCATTGGCTAATGTCCCATGACCAATGAGAGTGTCACTGGCAGTGCCTGCATATATTCGGAGACGGAAAGACTGATTGCTTGTGCAAATGTATTTGAACGAACAGTACGTGCTTTTGATTTTTTCACACGCTAAATACTTAGTGCTATACTTTAAATTGCCTGTAAAAGGTATAGCTGACCGTCACGTACCGCCTAACTGGCAAGCAACTGTACTTTCACGCATCTTCTAATGAATAAAATACTATACTCTCAACTGCGCAGCTGACCATAACTAGATTTTAACCAAACTCAAGCTAGTTCGTCTGTGTGTACAAGTCTTGAGAAGCTACTGTGTTTGTTGATGGCTCTACTCACATTACATCGGAGCGCGTCGAATAATCCGATAATGAGTCACATGGCCCCTTTGCACTGTGCGCTTGGCTTCGCAACGTTTGTGTTTAATCGACACTTTTACTGTTTCGGTGAGGCATCATTCCCCAAAACTTATGAGTGCATCCGCGGCCGTAACCCAGTCTGCTGTTGTTAGCGCTCTTTATTCAGCTGGTCGCTTATTTTATACGCAACTTGTCCTTCACCTTATCACGTCAAACACCCTTGATGACAATGCACTTGTTATTTCAGCGCGCCACACATACATTTGACAGTCGGAAAAGTGCAGAGATGGGTTAACGGCTTAACTTTCTTCCGTGTAATATAGCAGCAAACCGCCGTGCGATAATCTCACTGCACTTTTCATGGTTTCAATGAAATCAATAATCTCTGGGCCTCCTTAGGTCAGAGAAACGAACGAACGTGGCGGGAACCTTGTGGCTATTGCACTGCGCAACTACCATCTGGCTTTACCTGTTCGCCGAGCTTCGTAATTGGTTTGCGGCGTTTCATCAACAAACAAGATGATTTCTTCAGTGCGTTACTTTGTCAAATGTAGTCCGCCACGGACTGCATTTATTCATTTGGGAAACTTTGCACTGAGCATAACATGGTCCGTTACTTAATGAGCAACTGTTTAGCCGCATGATCTAGTAGCCCGGAGTTGCACTACATACTTCATTTCTAGGCAACTGTAGTCGGTCGGCGATCATTTTATTATATTCAGTACGTTCACCACACATGCGAAAGGACATGACCCACCGCGTTGCTGTCGCGATCGTAGGAAATTATGTGACTATCTGATGTTTCCGGCCGACTCGTCAACTATCGACCTATTGAAATTGATGGTTAAACTGCCTCCCACAGCTCGCATGACAGGGTAAGATTAACTGCCCTATTCGATCATGCTTTAGTGTCGGGGCAAGAATAATTGAGAAGACAACAATCTTTTGGTAGGCCTTGGTATCGAAGCGCTATGTCTTGAACTCCCAGACTACCTGCTCGATGTCCGTTAGGTGGACTTGGCAGGAAGCCAAGCAGCAAGGCTAAGAGAACTCTGTTTGCATCCTTCTCCCAGCAATCCAACCCCGTTGTCACCAAAATCGTGCCCTGATTTCGAACCTCCATAATGCTTTACCGAGAGCTGGATGGGTCACCGCCGCATCCTCAACATCTCTTCCTCATGAGTAAACGGTGATCCTAGGTTATACGTGGTTGGCGGCATCCGGTCCCGGATTTGTCTGCCGCTGTGGCCTTCACGGAGATAGCCACAGGACGCTTGTGCCTACAGAAGGACCACGGGTAGCGTGCGCTGCACCACCCCCAGTTCCACCCCATACCTCAAATCCGGTGTAAACCCTAACGAATAAGACCGGGTGGCATGTGAATGGGAGCCAGGTTTCATCAACGGAGCCGGCCCGCCCTCCTTCAACAAGCAGAACAGAAGCATTCCGGCCTAATTGGGAAATCATGCAACCAGACGTACACAAAGTGTTGGCTGGGCCGTTCCACACAGGTTGCATGAAGTCACTCTTCGAGCTGAATGCTGTCCAAAGGACGGTGCACGCCGTCCGCTGCATCAACGACTATTTGTCTCCTGGATCCAGCAATCGAGTTGGAGGTTACTAGGCAGATAGGCACCTTGTCAACATTCACTTCAGGCGCAGTCACACCGGGGAGCTCAATCAACATCCAACTTCTGCAGTTCAGGGATAATCATCACGCAGTAAAATTTACCACATACGCCGCCTTATTGGTCTGGATTAGTAAATCGAATGGGGACGTACGCATCGTGCTTGTATTTTTTGTGCAATAGTGCTTTCTCCTTCACCTGGGCAACCGCCCTATTGATCATTCCACGCATTTCTCGCTGATCAACTTTGGCTTAAATTTGAAGCACCTGCACTGAACATTAGTTCGTTATAAACTCACCTCCTTCATGTCTTGGTAATGTTATTTTCGGTTTGCCCCCGTGCCACTTCCCTGCACTTAGTTGGCCGTACAAAGGCGTCATGAGTATCCTCGTCGAATTCAATCGGTATACATGTATGCATGGATTGGCGTCATCTGTGTACAAGGGAAGTTCGAATACAACATGTGCACATGCGTTTATGCAAACTAAAGTGTGAGCTGTCACAAACTGGATAGAGACACATTAAACCTCATGATCAATGGTACGACAAACATGTATGGGTTTCCTTTGGAGGTCAGGCTAATAGCCACTTTCGCAGGCACGACAGTAATACCCAATACGAACTGTTTATGCTTTCTTCAACATTTAGACGTGACCGTCTTGAATCTTGGGCATCCGTATTTGAAGGAACCCGATATAGGAATAGTGAAGCAACTTCTAAGTAGTATGATAAATGGTACAGTTAAATAGTGTGCACTTAAGTGTTGCCATCTACATGTACAGTCTGTCTTGATGGGGGAGAACGCACAGCATGCGAATGCGATGGAATGTCCACTTCTGGCGCTGCGTGTCGTCCATCGGTCCGGTCACCTGCTGCCCGAGGTACGTGCACATTCTCAATGAAGGATTGATCCGCAACCTTTGTTATTGACAGGTGACATCAACTAAGTCCCGCTGCTCACTGTCAAACATGCGACTTTCCAAACAGTGTTCGCATGGTTTGGAAATATCCAAGTACTCAACCGTTTGTACATACCGATTTGTACTCGGTTGTGACCATAAGCTATTTGATAAAGATCTGCATCATACGTCTCCGCGTGCAGCCATTTGGTGCTCCTAAAACGATTGTCCGTATGCTCCGAATCCTTTCCGATGTACTATACTAATACACTGACGTACCATTCCCGTGGGGTATAGCATTTTACTTAGTCTATCCAACAGATTGGCCATGTGCAATGCAACTTCTGGTAGGCGTCTCTGCGCTTCCGCATTCCATCCGCTTAGTACGTGCGTTTTCATAAGCCCCGGTAAATTCAGTATGGCTGATGAACAGCTGGAAATATAACTATGCTCACTCTCATCACTAACATGCGGAGTGGAACATGAACGGGCGACATCGTGATAATCGCTAGTCGGTTAATTGTCGAGATTGTTCATTTGACACGGTATTTTCTGATAAATTTCTCTTCGAATGCGTAATCCAATGTGGTCACACGAAGGATAATTGTTGTGCAGTGTTCCAAATGTCAAAGTTTACACTATATGCGTAATTTAAGCGGCCAGACGTTGGTAACCTTTTGATTCAAGCGTATCAATCGAACTGGAGACATTCTCAATAATTTGCCACCTAAGCATTGATCCGTATCAACCACACAATTCGGTCGGAAACTCCGCGCGCACGTCAAATACAAATGAGCTCATGAATGGACTGAACCATTATTCTGCGTTGCACCGGTTCTCTAAGCGTCGTGTTAGTTAGCATTGGGCAGCTGGTCATGCTAGGTCCATGTAATCTGCAGATCGATTTCAAGGGGCAGAATGTAGATAGAAT